TGGGTCACATGGTGTGGAATTAAATAAGAAAGGACAAAGGCTATTTATTCAGAGTTTACTTTAGCAAGGTAGTCAGCCATTATCACTTGCATTTGGCAGAGACTCAGCAGCAAGCAGAGACGTGGGAAAACTTTTTAGTGAAAAAAAGAGGTGGCTTTCAGGTATGTCCCGTTGGAGGCTGGTGACCTGAAGAAGCTGTGGGCGGCTAACTAGAAGTGGGCCTGATAGCGTGGGTTAGGGATGCACATTTAGCTTTCTTAAGTCGGTTCTAATTTGGAAGTGGGGCAAAAATCAGGGAAATTGTCAATTATTCATTAAGCCCTGGCCACTGGGGGCCGGTGGTTACAGGTTACTATGTAATAAGCCAGAGGTTGAGGTCTGACTTCATGCAAGTCTGACATGTGGATGATGGGTTGGCTTCCTGGGCTGGTGCCTGCCGACTGTGGGCCAGTGTTCTCTTTTTTCTACATGATCTTGTCACAGTCCGTTTGTCTATTCAGCCTCTCAATGGTGACTCTGTGTTTAGCCATTTGACAAACTCCCAAATTGCATGACTTCACCTTCCCGTGTATGTCAAGTTTTATAACCTGGTTTTTGTTTTTCTTCTCCAGCTTAACCTTACGTTGTGAGGGTGTTGCAGTGTACCTGCTCATATGTCCTGGAGATTCTGTGTCTGTGTGGGGGCCTCCCACATCGAACCCTGTCAGCACCAGCTCCTCCCCACCCCCGCCCAAAGCTTCTCCCTGTCTCTTTCGTTCTCCCTTGAGGCTGCCTGCTGGTGGTGACCCTTATCCTATTCTCTCATTTACTGAGTAACTCACTCCATGGCTATTTCCAGACTTGGATTTGCCAGGCCCCGGGTGGGTCCTGAGACAGGAGTTGACTGGGGGAGTGCTATGCCCCAGAAATGGGAAGGGAACAAATGCTCTGAAGTGGGGCTCAGTGGGTTCAAATCCCTGCCCTGTTGCTTGGCTGGAGGAGGCTTGTCTCACCTGCCCAACAGAGCGGACAGGGACATTGTGCATATCCAGCAGGGATCCATCCCCATGCAGTGACCCACAGCATAGGTCAAGTGTGTCACTGAATGTCCCCCTGGCCCTCCAGGCAGCTGGAGAGTCCTGGATTTCAGATGTGTGTTTGAGAGTCGTACTTTGAAGCCACTGCAGCCCTGACTGAGCACAGCCTGTGTGTTTCCTGTCTCCAGATCCACAGCTCCCAGGACTTTGACATCTGCGTGAGGGACATGATCCCAGCTGACGTCCCTGAGCACTTCCGGGGTACGGTCAGCATCTGGGCCACTGTAACCGCTGTGGACGGGAGCCAGCAGGTGGCCTTCGATGACTCAACCCCCGTCCAGAGGCAGCTGGTGGACATTCGATACTCCAAGGTCACCAGGAAGCAGTTCAAGCCGGGTCTGTCCTATGTGGGGATGGTAAGCATTGGGACTAGTACCCAAGAGGGGCTGTCCAAGGTCACAGGCTCTGCGCTGCCTTCCACCCCAGCTCCTGCCCGAAAGCCACTGTGAAACCACTGCAATAGGATCCCAATTGTAGCTGGGGGAACCAGGCCAGCAGAGCTTGGTGTCACCTCAGAGGGAAGCTGCCATAACCCTAACCCCTGCCTGCCTCCACTACCCACACTGTGACCCCTCTTGTCACACACAGGATCTTGGTGGTCCTCGCACCGTGTCTCCCTCTTGCTCTGCTTTGGGATTTCAGAAGAAATCTGAAATCCTTTCTCTCTTTGTGCCAGGATCTCAGCTACTACTGTTCCAAGCATGCAGACACAGCTCATGTGCCCCTTGATTTTAGGGTCCCAACTGGAGTAGAAGCTAAAGTACCACATGTGCGGTCAAAATGTGTATGAAGAAAGGGCTTGGGGCTGTCGATTAATTGAAAAGGGAGCATTTCATGTACAGCTGAGAAATTATCCACCATCTGCATTAAAGAACAGAGCTATTAATGGGGATCACACAGGTTTAACATCATTCTGTCACCGAATACTCAGTCTAGGGTCCCTCAGGGCCCACTGACCATATTTCTTTTACAACATTCATGTCTTCTGAACCTCTCGTTCTGATCGCCTTTTCTGCCTGCCTGAATGAGTGAGATCTGAAAGTCACGGGGAGCTGTCCATAGCATTGCCCACTCTGTTCCTACCTTGGCATGGCTCGAGGCTCACGGCCAGCCTGTGACTTCTTTGCACCTTGTGACTTCTTTGCCAAGTCCAAGGTCATGAAGGTTTCCTATATTTTCTTCTACGTATTTCATAGTTTTAGCTCGTACTTTTAGGTCCGTGATCCATTTTGATTTACTTTTTGTATATAGTGTGAGGTGGGAGTTCCCCGTCATTCTTTTGCGTGTGGAGATCTTGTGGTCCCAGCACCATTTGTTGAAGAAACTATACTTTTCCCCACTGAACGGTCTTGGCACCCTTATCAAAGACCAGCTGGCTGTAGATGTGTGGGTTTATTTCTGGACTCTCCATTCTATCCCATTGGTCTCCATGTCTATCCTTACATCAATACCACACTGTCTTGATTATTGTAGCTATGTAGTGACTTTTGAAATAGTAATGTGTGAGTACTCTTTCTTTATTCCTTTTTCAGGATTGCTTTGGTTGCCTGAGGCCTCTTGCCACATCTTATGAATGTTAGCACCAGCTTGTCTATTTCTGCAAAGAAGCTGGCTGGGGTTCCGGTGGGGTCAGATTGAGTCTATAGGTCAGTTTAGGGAGTGTCATCTAACCACATCAAATCTTTGGTGACCCCTTCCAGGTGGAGCTTTCCTACCCTGACGGCAGCCCGGCAGAAGGCGTGACAGTCCAGATCAGGGCAGAGCTGACACCGAAAGACAACATCTACACCACTGAATCTGTGTCCCGGGGAGGGCTGGTGGGGTTCGAAATCCCCTCCATCCCCATGTCAGCACAGCACGTGTGGCTGGAGGTGGGTGAGTCGCCTAGACCCTTGTCATTCAGCCAGCAGGCATGTACTCAGTGGAACTGGGACCTCTCTCTGCCCCGAGGGAGGTCACAGTCTGATGGGGGAATGCAACAGGGGTACAGATAACTCAGCTGTTCTAGGGTGAGGTGGGAGGCTGCTTCTGGGAGGGTGGGACAGTATGTGCAGAGGCCCAGAGGCCCACCATTATAGTGTGGTTGGGTCCTGTAAGTGCCCAGCCAGACTGAGCCACTTCAGGAAGATATGGAGTTGGGAGCCAGTGGGGCTAACTCCCACCTTCCAGGCATGCTTGGGTTTACTCAGAAGGTAGTGTCAGGGGATAGAGTGATCTGAATTTTGATACTCAACAACCGTTCCAGTGAGGGGTGGCTGGGGGACCACAGGTAGCCAGACAGGAGATGATGATGGAGAGGGCACCAAGCCTGGAGCTGTTGAGGTAGAATTGATAGGACTTGGTGTCCCCACTATCAGGGAAAGGAGGAGCAGGAGCAACAGAAACAGATGTCCCAGCTCCCGGCTCTGTGACAGCCCCATGAACACTGGGATGGTGGGGATGGGGCAGCTGAGAATAAATGTGTAGGTGTGAGCCAAGGACACCTGTGGCCTTTGTGTCCTCTGTGGGTGACATGTCCTTAAAGATTTTTAACCACTAAAGCCACAAGGTCAGGGTCCCCAGGCCACCCACACTTTTTACCAACTGGCTATAAATGTGAGGGTTCCTGCTGCCCTACTACCATACAATTTCAGGTTTTTAAAAAAATCATCAAAAGACATTCTTTTATTTCCATTAGTCCTTTAGCAATGATCTAGCAGCAAAGCCCACAAATGACTCAAATATCAGAGTTAGCCAAATGATTTTTCTCCCTCATAGATACTTCTAAAAATTAGCTTTTTCCAAAAATGTCACTTTTATGGAAAGATATTCTATTTCTATTACCAAATACTGCTTGGGAAAAGGTCTTTAATTTTTTTATAAAGCAAAACCAATTTTAAACATCTAATTATTTTTCATTGAAATATAATTGACATACAACATATTGGTTTCTGGTGTATAACAATGATTTAGTATGTGTACATGTTACAAAATGATCACTACAGTAATTCTCATTAACATCAATCACCACATATAATTTCACAATTTTTTTTCTTGTGATGAGAACTTTTAAGATCTACTCTCTTAGCTACTTTCAAATATACAATACAGTATTGTTAACTAAAGTCATCATGCTGTACATTTCATCCCAGGACTTATTTTGTAACCCAAAGTTTGAACCTTTTGCAATTAGTTTTGTCATAGAAATATAATACGAATGAGGCCAAAGTAAAGAGAGAGATGCCTAGGGTGAGAGCTGGGAGGGTGCCGGATTTGAAGTTTCTCATGCTGTCTGCGTGGAGTTGAGACTCATCGCCCTCCTGGCCCATCAGCGTGTGACAAACACACAGAGAACTGCCAGCCAGGGGTGCTCACTCATGCTTCGGTGTCTATGGTTTTTATTAGGGTTTCATTATAGAGGTGCCATTGATTGAACCATGGGCCCCAAGACTGAACTCAATCTCCAGTCACCTCCCCTCCCGGAGATCAGGATGGTGTGGGGCTCAGAGCCCCAACCCTCTAATCACATGGTTGGCCTTTCTGGTGTGGCCATCCCTATCCTGAGTCATCTCATTAGCACGTGTTATCAGGACCCACCAAGAAACAAACACACTCTCATCGCTGGGGAAATTAGAGAGTTTTAGAGGCTGCCTCTGAGGAGCTGGGTGGAAGCCTGGCCAACTTCTTTATCCTTTCTTTTTTTAATATATATTTTTTATTTTTCAGTTACAGTCAGCATACACTATTATATTAGTTTCAGATGTACAACATAGTGATTAGACATTTACATAACTTACAAAGTGATCACACCAATAAATCTAGTACCCACCTGACATTGTACATAGCAATTACGATATTATTGACTATATTCCTTATGCTATACTTTATATCCTCTTAATTCTTTTGTATCTACCAACCTCGAGGTGGCTTCTTCTGTATATCTTTAGTTGTAGGACTTCTGTTCAGCTAGACTCCAGACAATTTTCAATGATGGTTGTTCTATAGTTTAGTTATAATTTTGATGTGGTCGTGAGAGGAGGTGAGCACCGCGTCTACCTACTCCACCATCTTGTTCAGAAGCTCTGCAACTTCTTTATTCTCTATCACACAGAGTTCTTAGGTTCCCTCTTCTGATGTCTCTCTTTTGTTAGCTGCATTCTTTTACAGCAATTGAAGGCAACAGGCTCAAACTGTCAAAGGAGCAAAGATAGTATAATTGCCAAGGCCTGGGATGTGCAGGGGCAGGGCCGTGAGCTCCAGGTGGGTCCAGGTCCAGCCCAGTCACTCCTCCTGACTGCCGCCTCCTGTGTTCACTCCTCAGGCAGATTATATTCTGAGAAGCCAGTGGGGCTGCTGGCAAGCCTGAGGACAGGGAGGTGTACATGTGTGCACACAGAGGGAAGGGGTTTTTATTCCTAAATGTGGCCATGTGGGCCACCTGTCGCTGCCTGAGCCAATCCCCAAGACCCTGTGGCCACTTGGACACTTGCTTCCCACAGAGCTGGGAAGAACAGGCTAGCCACATTGGACCCTATTGTCTAAGAATTGGAGAGGATGTTCCCCAAAGGGAAACTAGAGCTTGAGAGGGTTTTTCTGCAGGGCAGGGCAGAGTAGGCAGAAGCATCCCAAAGACCCCCTTCCCAGATGCCCAGGCCTTGACCAAGTACCCTCTCTTCTTCAGACCAAGGTGACGGCACTCAATGGAAAGCCTGCGGGGACCCAGTACCTGCCCAGCTACCTCTCCCTCAGCAGCTGGTACTCCCCCAGCCAGTGCTACTTGCAGCTGCAGCCGCCCTCCCACCCCCTGCAGGTAAGGCTTTCAGGTAGGACCTTCCTTGGGCAGGACTGGGCCCCGGATAGGGAGTACACATGCCTCCAGGGGACCTGCACATGCCCCAGCAGGGCTAATGGTGACGCTGATGCTGGAGCCCCCATTCCTCCAGCAAGGGGGGTACTCCTCAAAATGAATGCCCATAATTTATTTATTATGATGGACATTCAGGCTGTGGCCCAGGGTTTACCATGATAAACATGACTCTTGCCGTCAGGGTGCCACCGCTCCCAGGCCTGAGACGGGTTCCCCGCTTTCTGGAGGCTTCACTTCTTGTGCAAAGGCAGCGAAAGTTTTCCACCCAGACACTTCCAGACACACCGAGTATAAAAATGAAATGAAAGAGCTGGGTCTCACGTTGGTGCTTCCTGAGTCTGTTATTCTGTGATCCCAATTAAGTAAGATGCATGGAGAGGTGTGTGGGGAGGATCTGTAAAAACTGAGCAGAAAATTGGAAGCGTTCCCACGAACCCCTGCCCCCTGCACACAGTTTCCCTGATTAGTAGCATTAGTGTGGCACGTCTGTTAACAATGGATGAGCAACATCGGTGCATTATCACAAACTAAAAACTACCGGGTACCTTAGGCTTCTGTCTTGGTGTTGCACATTCTGTGGGTTTGAATAAATGTATAATGATGTATATCCACCATTACAGTATCATACAGAATGGTTTCACTGCCTTAAAAATCCTCCGTGCTCCACCCATTCATCTCTCCCTCCCTGTAGCCCGTGGCAACCACTGAGCTCTTCACTGTCTTTATACTTTCGCATCTTCCAGAATGTTGTATAGTCAGAGTCATACAGTATGTAGCCTTTTTAGTTTGGCTTTTTTCACTTACCAACTTACATTGAAGTTTCCCCCGTGTCTTTTCATGACTCAAGAGCTTTTTTCGTTCTAATGGTGAATAATATTCCATCGTATGGCGTGGGCGAACTGTGGTTTGTGTAGTCCCTTACCTGTTTAGCGCTATATAACTATATGTTTTACAAAGCCCTCCGTTAACGCCCTTAACTAGAGCACCAAAGGCTGACCCTGGCTGCCATGGGTCTTGGCAGGCTTGCCAGCGTTGCTTCTAATGCAAACCGTTTGCCATGGGCTCCCAGGCCCTACCAGCCCCATAAGTTCTGGCAGTTCCGCCCACACCCAAGGCTGCAAGGGGCCCCTGGGATGCAGCTCGGAGGAATCCCGGCATCACGCCTGTCTCCCAGGCTTGGCAGCTCTCTGCAGGAGTTATGAGAATAAGAAACTCAGACGAGATTGTGCCCAGCTTGGCTGAACACACCGTTCTTGTTGCAATGCTGTTCAACCAGCAGCGTGGTGTGGGGACACTGCCATTGGCCGCCTTCCTGTGGGGCGGCAAGGAGCCCTGTGTCCCCAGCTGCCAATACTGTTGTTCCCAGTAGGTGAGAACTTGGCTGGGTCACTCAGACTTTCCTCTCAGAGGGACGTCTCCTTCTTGCCTGAATCGGGTCAGCCGGTTCCAGCTTTCCCCCACCCCCAGACCGTCATCAAGGGGCACTGGGGCCAGAGTGTCTGTGCTTGGTTTTCCAGCCCGAGCCCTGTGTCCAGGGCCTTTCCCCTTCCTCCGGCACTGAGGCACACGCAGGGAGGAGCTGCTCTGTATACAAGGAATGTCACTTCAATCTTTTGGGTTGGTGTGATGCCACAGGGCTAGTGCAGGTGAAGAGGAGAAAGCTTTGTGCTCTTTCCTTCTTTCTACCCAACATTTCAAACAGAGGGTACTTTTGTTTGTCTTTTTATAATGGGGATATTTACAAATTTAGAGAGAACTTTTAATAACATGGAGCCAAGGTTCTAGCTCTTTAGGAAAGATATTCTTACCAGAGGAAAGCCTCACCTTGTGGTTTAAGGCCTCTAATCTACTAATTTTTAATGAGGACAGGCTTGGTGGCTTTAGATCAGGGCTCCATCGTATTATTGTTAAAAAGAGAGTGGCTTTGTATCATGGGACTGAGCCACCATTCTACATCATTTGAAAGGAGGACAGTACTCTTACCATAAAAGGAGGTCTCCTTTATTTTCTGTAGCAATAGACAACTTTGGTCTGTGGGCCATAAACAACCATACGCCTTTCACCCAGATTTATGAATTAACATTTGCCTCTATCCATCCATCCATCCATCCATCCACCCACCCACCCACCCATCTATCCATTTCTCTATACATTTTTTGGCTGTAGCATTTGAAAGTAAGTTACACATAGCATACTACATCCCCCAAATAAGGAAATTTTTCAACACGACCTCAAAGCTATTGTCACATCTAAGAAAATTACATTAATTCAATCATATTTTTAAATTCATAGACAATATTCAAATTTTCAAAGGTGTCCTCAAGATGTAATATATCTAGTGTGTGTGCACATCCATGTGTATCTGCACAATTGTGCACACACGTGTGTGTGCATATGCATACATGAGCATGTGCACATGCGTGAGTACGCATGCGTGCATTTGTGTGTGCATTTTATTCAGGATCAATTTATACACTGCATTTGGCTCTTCTGTGTTCATAGTCACACTTGATCTGGAACAGTGCCCACACCTTTTCATCACCATGACTTTTGCGAAGAATCCAGGCCTGTGGTTCCTGTGTATATATCCTTTATCCAGGTTCCCCTAATGTTTTAACTTTTTAAATGTTGTTTACCTTTCATTTTTGACTCATGAGAGTTCTTTATATATTCTGGACACTGGACTCTTATCAGATATATTGTTTGCAAACATTTTCTCCCATTCCCTAGGTTGTCTTTTCACTTTATGGATAGTGTCCTTTGATGCAACAATGGTGTTTAATTTTGGTAAATTCCAGTTTATCTTGTTATTTTTTTCCTTTGTTGCTTGTGCTTTGGTGCCCTAGGTAAAAGAAACTATTGCTAAATTCGAGGTCATGTTTTTATCTAAGAGTTTTATAGTTTTCGCTCTTACATTTAAGTTTTTTGAACTGTTTCCAGTTAATTTTTATATGCGATGTGAGGTAGGGCCCAACTTCAGTCTTTTGCACCATCTGTTGAAAAGACTATCCTTTTCCCATTGAATATTCTTGGCACCCTCATTGAAAATCCCTGGGCTATAGATGTGTGGGTTTATTTCTGGAAGCTCAGTTCTAGCCTACATGTCCTTATGCCATCACCACACTGTCTTTATTACTACAGCTCGGTAGTAGGTCTTGAAATCAGTAAATGTGTGTCTTCCGGCACACGCTGACATTAGGAAGGGCTAGAGCCTTCAGTTTACCCCTCTGGAAACATGGGGATTATGAGAGGACCCAACTTGTCAGATGCACATTTGATGAGAAGGCCCAGCCCAGTGCAGCACTGGCACCTGCAAAGTGAAGGAGTAGTTCCAACACCACCCTCCCTCCTGACACCAATTGCAGACTTTAGGGATCTCCAAGCCATCCTCAGGTTTTTTTAATTTCTAGGGACATTCACAGAATCACTGAAAGCTGTTATACTCACGGTTGCAATATATAATAGTGAAAAACGGATTAAAATCAGCCCTGGAAAGAGAAGCACGGGGCAGTGTCAGGAGAGTTCTGAATGTGAGCTTCTGCTTGTCCTCTCCCCACGCAGCCATGGACAATGTTACTTTTCCAGCAACAATGCGTGACAGCATGCATGGTGTACTGCCAGCAAGGACACTCATCTGAGTGAGCCTCAGCGTCCAGAGTTTTTATTGTGGAGTCGGTCACATAGACATGTTTGATTGGCCTCAGTTCCAGCCCCTCCAGAGATCAGGCTGATAGAGTGTGGCCCAAGGCCCCCACTGTAAATCATATCTCATGTGGCCCAAGACCCCAGGTAAACAAAGACTTATCAGGCAGGACATTTCAGTGGCTTAGAGATCACTTATTAGGAGCAGGGGGCACATTCCAGACCTCTTTTTGGGCCAAGTTCAGTTCTTCACTACATGACACCTCACTGAGGCTTCCATACTGTTATCACATTTTGTGTGCACTACAGCCCCATTTATGGAGCAGTAGCTGAGGCTGCCAAGGGGACATGGCCACAGCCAGGATGGGACACCAGGCAATCTGCCCTGAGGCCAGTATGCTCCCTCCTCAGCCATCCAAACCTCCTGGTGGCCCCAGAGCAGCCGTCTCCTTAGGTGGGCTGTGGCATTGGTGCTGGCTTCTGGGTGCCAGGCAGGGCCCTCTGTGCTACATGTCTCCCACAGGTCGGGGAGGAAGCCCACTTTTCTGTGAAGTCCACATGTCCCTGCAATTTTACCTTGTACTACGAGGTGGCCGCACGAGGTAACATCGTGCTCTCAGGCCAGCAGCCGGCCCACATCACCCAGCAGAGAAGCAGGCGAGCAACCCCAGAGAAACCGATTCGCTTAACACACCTTTCCGAGACAGGTGAGCCAAACTGTAGGCTGAAAGTTCTGTTCTTTCTTCTGAACCATTGAGACTGGGATGGGTGCCCCAGATAGGAGGAGTGAGCCAGACGCAGCCAAGAGGGAGCCTGCCTCAGGGCGGAGGGCACGTGTCCCAAGCAAGACAGAATTGGGTTCAGGAGGAAGGGCATCCTCGCTGCATGTTTTCAGGGGACTAGGGGAGGTCAGTCACTGTAAAGGTCCATACTCTGCCGTGTTGCCATCTGCAAGACCCCTCTCTAACTTTGTCCAGGCTGTTCCTCCACCTAGGATTCCTCCTCCCTCTCCTTGACTCTTTGTGCTCCTCATGAGACCCACCTCCTCCCCTTGGTCTTCCCCAGCTCCCTTCTTTTCACAGCCCTTCTGTCTAAAGCAGCATCTTCAAAGTGGGGACTATGGACGCTTGAGGGCAGGTCATCCTCTGGTGGGGTGTCTGATGCACTGTAGTGTGTGGAACAGCATTTTTGGTCTCCACCCACTAGGTGCCTATAACAACCCATCTACACACAGTGTGAAACCTAAAAAGTCTTTGGACATCTCACTGGGTGAGAATCCCTGAGAGAGATGGATAGATGGGTAGATAGATAGAATCATAGATGGATGGACGGATGGACGGATGGATGGACATAGATAAATGGATGGATGAATGGACAGACAGATGAACAGATTGACTCATAGATTCATAGATTTATAGATAGACAGATTGACTCATGGATTCATTCATAGGTGGGTGAGTGGATGGGTGGGTGGATGGATAGATGAATTGACTCGTGGAAAATAGATACAGAGATTCATAGATAGACAGATTTATAGATAGACGGGAAGACAGACAGGATCTCTCTCATGCTAAGTCACTTTCTTGCCCTCGGCCCTAGTGATGTTTAGGGACAGATCATTCTTTGCGGTGGGGGCTGCCCTGTGCACTGCAGGGTGTTGATCACCTTCTGGCCCCCACCCACTAGATGCCAGTAGCATCCCCTGAATGGGCATTGTGCGCCTACGGGCATTGTGGGCATTGTGCGCCTACATGCTCCAGGGCTTCCCTTCCCTTTTAGGTGAAATGGAAGGGGTGTGAGTGTCTATGGAGCACTTGCCCTGGGTCAGCACCTCCTCACACTGTGCCCCATGTCACCCCAGGGCAGCCTGGGGCTTTAGTGGTTCCACTGTGGGATGTTGGATTCTCACGCCTCTCTCTCCCACCTTTGACTTGTCTTAGAGCCCCCTCCAGCCCCAGCAGCCGAGGTCAATGTGTGCGTGACCTCTCTCCAACTGGCTGTAACCCCCAGCATGGCCCCTGTTGGCCGCCTGCTGGTCTTCTATGTCAGGGAGAATGGAGAAGGGGTCGCTGACAGCCTCCAGTTCACTGTGGAGACCTTCTTTGAAAATCAGGTAGAACGTTGGGACCCCAACTGGGGGAGAGAGGAGGGATGGGCAAGCACCATCCAGGGCTGGGGTCCCCAGGGTGTTGACGCTGGGATAGGCTGTGCACAGCTGCCTCTCAGACTTCATGTGTTGTCGTAGGCAGAACTTCTAAGCAATAATTGGAATATAAGTTTCATCTTAACTGGAGCATCTCCAAAAGTCACAGAGATGGAGATTGCATTCATCACACACAGGGAAAAGTGGTCAGCTATTCTCTGTCCCCACTGGCCTCCAGACCTAAGGGACACTGCTCATGTCCCCAGCAGCGGGCTCAGCCTCCTGCACCCTCTCCCTGCACCCTTTAAAACTGGCTGCAACATGCCCTCGGCCAGCGCCTGTCTCCCCATCCCACCCCACCTGTCCTCTGCACAGAATATCTCAGTTCCACCAGCCTAGTTCCTGTCACTCTGCCTCCCACTCTTGTCCTCACCTGGGCGACAAGGTCAGGGTCCCATCTGGGCTGGTGATGACTGACTCTCCTTGGCAGGTGGGTGGATGAGTGGTTTGGGAGGGCGCGGCCAAGCTCCTGACTGCTCTGCTGTGTTTGGGTCCAGGTTTCACTGACGTATTCAGCGAATGAGACACAACCCGGGGAGGCTGTTGACCTGAGGGTCAGGGCTGCAAGGGGCAGCTGTGTGTGTGTTGCTGTAGTTGATAAGAGCGTCTACCTGCTGAGGTCTGGGTTTCGTCTGACTCCTGTTCAGGTGAGCGGGGCCCTTGGGTGCCAGGTTTTAGCACCTCCATGGGGGTCTCTCACTTTCCAATAAATAAAGAGCCCCGTGTGAATCCAGATTCTCTCTCTCCATTGGGTTCATTTCTTAGTGAATCTCCTTTTTGTTGCTGCTTTGGTGCAGTTGAAAGATCTTGGAATCAGATTCATTAGACCCTTGCAACGTGACTTTGTCCAGGTCCCACTTCTCCGGCCCCAGTCTGTCCATCTTTAAAATGGGCTAACACTATTGCTAATGTAAAAATAAAAGGCCTTTTAAAGGGAGAGGCAACAAGCATTTATTTGAGATCAATAAGAATAGCTATCCGGGATGCACTGATTCAGGCAGAAGCCCAAATAGTGTTTTGATTAGGAGACAAAGGCAAAGGGTATTTATGAGAAAGGGAAGGTGAACAATTACCTTAATAGAAGGCGGCATTTCTACTGGTGCAGGTAACATAACATAATGATGCTAACTAAACAATTAAAAATTTTTTTCAGTCTAGTAGTCATTAGTCTGGTAGTCATAATAACTGCTTTCTTGCTGTCTTTGCAAACAGTTCCTTGGAGCATAATGTTGTTTTAGGCCCAGTGTAAAGGTTATTTTGCCCCGTTTTAACATTCCAAAGGTTTGAGGCATAGGTCATGCAAGGCAACTAGTTCCTCTGGCATGGCAGCTCTGGCTCCATTATAAAGCGAGAGTCAAAAGGAAAGTTCATTAGAAAAAGGGTGACACTCCACACAGACAGAGTGGTCTCCTCTCAGAGGCAGAGAATGAGGGGCAGTGTGAGGGATAGAGGGACAGACTAAAGGCACCCAGAGGGACCTTGAGTGTTCAGGGAATTCAGTTTATATGCCATTTTTAGTTCCCATTTCCTCTGATATGGACATACAGTGAGGAAGGGGAAGAGTATGTAGCATGAAAAGGTAAGTAGATGTAGAAAGGCCTGCTGGCAGTTCTCAGCCTTTAATCCATAGGTGCCCCATGCTTTTTGCCATAGGGAATGACTCTTGGTTACTGTTTCCCCTTCACAGCTATGGAAATGGCTTGCTGGTAGTCCAGCAGAAACCTGCCTTTGTTCTGCAGGTATCCTCCTGGCCTGGTTGCAGGGCTGATCAGCACCTATATTATTATTCATTTTTATTTAAATGTTATTGTATTTTTTTTTATTATTTATTTTTATTTCTTGTTTCTATTATCTTTAATACCATCGACACCCATCTCCTAAGGTGATATATGTGAAAGGAGGTTGAGACGGGAGCATGCCAGACCCACGAGAACCGGTTTGGGTTTAAAGGAAACCCTCAACTGATTGACCCCACCGCTCTTTGCCTGTAGGTTTTCCGGGAATTGGAAGATTATGACGTTTCTGATGCCTTTGGGGTGTCACGGGAAGATGGACCCTTCTGGTGGGCCGGGCTGACAGCACGACGACGCAGGCGCTCCTCTGTCTTCCCGTGGCCCTGGGGCGTCACCAGGGACTCCGGGTTTGCCTTCACCGTAAGGAGAGGTGGTCTTGGAGCCCACTGCCCCCTTCCATACTCCTCTCACTTTGAAACAAAGAGTCTGGGGACTACAGTATGGGGGGTGAAAGCTTTCAAACTTTTATTGCTTCGGAGCTTGATTGCGATTCTCCCCAGTGAAAACTCATGAGCGGACCCTCTGATTTGCAAAGCAGATGAGAGTAAAATGTCAGTGTGGTCTGACAACTTGATCTGGATAGGAAGCAATGGAGCTCAGGGTAGTTTGGTGGAAGGAAAACCGTCCATGGCCAAGGAGCGGGTGGCCATCCATGTTCTCGAGCAGCAGGTTCACGTGTGATGACAATCATGGCTCGCATCTGCCCGCCTCCTTCCTGGTTACAGGGGTCATGGAGGTGTTAGCAGGTGCAACATACACAAGCATCATTCTAGGTCACACCAGGAGCTCACAGGTTGGCAGTCTCCACTCAAATGCATGTTGCATCGGAGGGTGCTTTTCATCCATGTTTTAAAATCATTTAAAAGGCATTCCTCACCCACCCCCATTTTTATTATGGAATTTTTCAAACATGGAAAAGTTGGACAAATTCCTACAATTAACATTTTGCTGTATCAGCTAAAAAGTTTAGTATATAAAATATATATAATATATATTTGAAAAAATTACTTATTTTGCTGTATTAGCTAAAATATATTTATTACGTATCTAGCTATATCTGTATATCTATATTGGAACAAATGATGTTTCAATTGCATGTCTGTTGGATGCCTAGCAATTTGAACCCTTGGACCCTGCTGGTTTTGGAATTAAGGGTACCGTCTCTGATTAAAGTAACTAGATTTAACTTCCTTATTCACAAAGCAGAGTCAGCCAGTCTAGGATGGGGCTTCTCCTCCATCCCATTGTTCCCAATAATTAGCACAGTGATGAGGATAATTATAATAGTAATAACTGCAGCAGCCCACAGTCATCAGCCCTTGGACTGGATCAGGCACTGTTCCGATCGATTTTTTTAAATAGAAGTGAAATTCACACAACAGAAAATTAACTCATTTTAAAGTGCACAGTTAATTCAGTGACATTTAGCACATTCACAATGTTGTGCAACCACCACCTCTATCTAGTCCCAGAACATTTCTGTCACCCCAAAAGGAAATCCTGTCCCTATGAGCAGTCACTCCCCATCCCCCTTCCCCAGCCCCTGGCAACCACAGCTGCTTTCTGTATCTATGGATTTGCCTGTTCTGGACATTTCATGTCAATGGAATCATAAAACGCATGGCTGTTTGTGTCTGAGGCACAAACGTGTTGGCCTTTCATCACTGGGTGCCATGACCCCCTCAGTTTGTAGCACCAAGCCCACAGCAGGGCCATGACGCAGCAGCAATGTTGGGCCAGTGGTCCTGGGATGATGAGAACTCTTCGGGCCATCACATCCACTTCCCCACCGTGGGTTTGGATGTTGTCTGTTGCCTAGGAAACAGGACTGGTGGTGATGACTGACCTGGTGAGCCTGAACCACCGGCAGGATGGTGGCCTATACACCGACGAGGCTGTCCACGCCTTCCAGCCCCACACGGGGAGCCTGGTGGCAGTGGCGTCCTCCAGGCAACTCCCCAGGTAATTGCCACTGCCTTGAGCAGGGTTTTCTAACTTCACCCTGTTAATGTCTAAGGCTGGGGCCAGATCATTCTCCGTGGTGAGGCCGCTTTGTAGGGTATAGAGCAGCATTCCTGGCCTCCATCCACCAGTTGCCTATAGCACCACTTCGAGTTATGACAACCAAAAATGTCTTCAGACATCACTCACTTTCTCCTTGGGGTCAAAATTACCACTGGGCTGGGACACTGAGCATTCAGCCTTGCCCCTCCCAATTTTTGGCCCTACCCCCATGCATGGGTTGGGGTGCAGAGAGAGGAACGTTCATTGGGGGAGCAGACCTGCCTGGGGACAGAAGGATCAGAGCAGAGTAATAGAAAATTCTATTACTCTTTTTCCTTCCTCCTGCTTCCCCCGCGATTCCTTCTCTTCTTCTCTCTTCCTCCTCCTGCTCCAACCCTCTGCCTTCTCAAGTTGGACACCAAATAATTACTTTTTAGTCTTTCTTATTTTAACTCTAAGTGTTTAAACCTTTTCTTTTTTGAAGGCTATGAATTGCCCTCAGAGCACTGCTTTGGCTGCACCAGAGTCGTGTTATGAAGTGTTCTAGATAGATTCTCACTTGTGGAATGATTCCCTTTCTGAGCTGTGACTCAGCTAGAAGTGTTTTAAATTTTCAAGTGATTTTTAAAAGTATTTTTTTTATGCATTTTGTAAAGTTGTTTCAAGTGTGCATTGTAGCCAATGAACATGGTCTGTATGGTATCCATTGTCTGGTTTTTATTTTGGGGACTGACTATATGGACAGTGTTTGTAAATGCTCACATCTTTTTGAATATCTAAATCCCTCTCATTGGGTAAAGGGCTCTCTGCATACTTTTGGTTGAGCCTATTGATGGTGGCACGCAGAGCCTCCATATATTTACTCTTATTTTTTGGTTTGTTTACTAACATTCATTACTGAGAGAGAGAAGTTCACATCTCCCCCTTAGATTTGTGGCTTTGTCGCCGGAGTCATGCAAACCTTCATTTGACAGGAGGTGATACTTTCTCCTCTCTCATGTCTCTCCCTTTTGATCCCCTATTGTCCACCTCTTTTCTCGCCCATGCCCTTCATTCCTCTGCCTCTGCCACTAGCTTCTCAATCCCCGGTCTCAGCCAGCCAGCTTGGGAAGGAGAATGGTGCTCTGAAGACTTTGCCTCCCTACTCTCTCTAGATTTGAGGGCATGAGGGCTGGAACAGGGGAGGCAAGCTTTGGATATCCTTTCTTCCACCCACTCCTCTGAGAGAGAGCACAGAACCAAGGGGGGCCATGGATGGGGTCAGTGTAGTCAGCAGTCCATAAATATCTAGGTCTCTCCAGAAACCTTAACGATGGGCCCCAGACTCTTGACCCCTTGTTCTGGACCAAAAGTAGCCCAGAAGACCATCTGCCCTCATGGGCCTGTTCATCAAAGTGCTCTTTATCTTTTAAGCCTTCTCTGCCCAGACCGAGATCCTTCTCAACTCCGTAGGCCCTCTGCAGTGATTCCTGGGTACCTGGGTCCCCTGGGTTCTTCCTGCCTGGGCCACTTATTTAGCAGGAGTCAGGCAGGCCCACAAGGGTCTTAGTTTCCAAACTCCAAATCAGAGTGTGGCCAGACCAAGCTCCTCCTACCGTAGTATGGACACACACAGAGGCATTTCCAGGATGTGGTTGGATAAGGGAGGTGGAATACTGGCCCTTCCCTCCCATGTGCAGGTCCCCTGAGAGCTTGGCCTGGTGTGGTCTGAAATCTAAAATCACAAAGGCAATTATAAATCCAAATGCAGAAAGACAAAAGAAATGCCTTAAAAGGCAGGTATTTGTGCCTTTTTGTAATTGGATAACATCCTTATTCTGAGGACAAGATATTTTTCTTAACAGTGTGCAAGTGGTTAAAATTTTTTCAAACAGTTTGAAAGGTTATATAACGAAATGAAGGTCTCCTCACCTTCTTAGAGGCCGATAATTTATTAGATATCATCGGTCAATAATTTATTAGATATCATTCTAGAATTTTTTTTTGTGCATATATAAGGATTTAGGAATTTTTAAAAACCCAACAGGAGAATATTGTAATACTGTTCTATACCTTTTTTTATTTTCACAGAGCTGAGAAGTCAACAGTAAGTCTTAGAGATGTTCCACATTAGTACATACAGTATATATGCTTACCTCACTCTCTTTCGCTGACATAATATTTCACTGTATGAATGTAGTATCATGTGATTAACCAGTCCCCTTATTGATGGAGATTTCAGCTACTTGTTCATTCTCTTAGTGCTGCTGTGAACCACTCCGATTGTCTTTGCACACGTGCCTGTGGGTATTTCCAGGGTGCATTCCTAGGGGAGGTATTGCAGGTTGAAAGAATGGGACCATTTTTAATTTTGAGAGATTAGGCCAAATTTTGAGTCAGGTTTATTTTTTTTTAATGAAGGGACAACCCCAGGGAATGTGAGCCACGAGACTTCTGAGGATGGACCAAGAATGAAAGGCACTCTTTAGGAAAAGGGAGAGCTTGGGGGAGGTGGAGAGCGTGATGCGATGGTGCAGGAAAAGAAAAACATGGCAAACTCGGAGGAAAATTAACAAAGGGGAGGATGCGGGGTGGTCCCTGTGGCCCTTCAGGATATAAAGCACCACTATTATTTTAAGATGACTCTGCCAATCCTTTGATGCCTCACTTCTACTCCTAATTAACTAGAATGTTAACCCCTTCAAGCGAAAGAATTAACGCTTTGTATCCTAATTGGGCAGAATGTTAACTCCTAAGTGAATTGAGGGTTAACTGACAAGTGAGCGAATTAACATATTATGTCCTAATTGAGTAAAATGTTAATCTGCCAGGTTACAAAATTATGTCCATGAAACTTTAATCACTCCTTCTTTTATTTTTATAGAGCAGAGAAGAGGAAAAGGACCTTTTTCCCAGAAACATGGATTTGGCGGTGTCTCAACATCAGGTACAGTAGGACTTTCCTTCGATGTCCTTGTGGGCTGACTTTGAGGCACTCACACAAGGCTAGATTGTTCCCCGTGCGTTTGCCTGCAGATCTGACACCCACATCTGAGTAAGACGTTGGGCATCCTTTTCTAACATATAAAACCCAAAGCCATGAAGTCAGCCCTGAATCCTGCTGCAGCCTTGGACATCCGCTCATGAAATATGAAATGCAGGGGCTTCGTGCCTCTTATGACTCCCTCTTGGGGTAACTCTATCCTCTCTGTTTGCATAACGAGCTCATTAAAACGATTACAGTTCCCTGGAACATGAACTTGACCCCACCCACCCCCTCCTCACTCCTCAGGGAATTTAGACTCCTGCCCGCCAAACAAGCTGCTTTTCTCAGCACATTTCCTTTCCACATTTTTCCCCCGTTTAGTTCTTCTTGAAGCAGCAGTGCCCTGCCAAATTTCTGCCGGATGCAATTGGCTTTTTCCTTTCGATGCTCAGTGTGAGAACACCCAATGGCACTAAGTAGAAAGTAGTTGTAGCCTGCCCTGGGAAAACAGTGAAGCGTGAAAATTCAGACTCCCAGGGCCAGTGGGGGGGTGGGCACTTCCGAGCGAGTGCTCCCTTCTAGGCACGAGGTGCCACAAGGCACATGGCACATGCTCCGCACAGAACTGGGCACACCACTGGGGGTTTCTCAGGCTGCTTTTGTGGATGTGTGTGTCCCCGTTATGGGAAGGCTTAACTCCTGGTCAGCATAGACCCAGATTATTGCATTTTGCGTTGGGACCCCAGGTTTAAGATGGGCTGTCTGGCCATCATTATTCAAATGCATCTGCTTTCTGGGTGCTTGGCGATGTTTTTGGTGCCAGGAATGGCATCTTGAACGAAGTGGGCAGAGTCCCCTGACTCATGGAATTTACGATTTATGCCCCAGGAGACTTCACGCTTCAGTAGGGTCGATGTTCTCATGGTGAGCTGGGCACGGGGCTTGGGAGGCAGAAGAGGAACCCTTTGGGGAAGCCTGAGAGGCTCTCAGGGCAGACAGAGGCCAAGCTGAGTCCCACAAGATGGATAAACAAGAACGGCGGTGTTCAGATGGAAGGACCAGCACGGGCAAGAGCTGGGGGGCGGGAGAGGCTGGCAGATTCCACAAGGTTGGAGGGAGGTAGGAAAGGCCCAGAGGAAGGTGCAGGGAATGTGAAGGCTGTGTAGGCTGTGGTGGGGAGGCGTAGAGAGCCACAGAGGGTTACAACCAGGGATTCGGGGTTTGAGATTTGGAATGTTCCCTGCCCCTCTGTCGGCTGTTACTGTATGAAGCCATGACAGTTCTGCCAGATGGGAAGAGGCCGAGCTTGAGTTATTGGGGTGACAGCATGTGACCCTCACAGAGGGGTTGACAGATGCCGCAGGTCTCGCAGGGCCTGATGGGCAGTGGAGTCATGCTATAGCCTGAGAGGTCTGGCTGCCCGGCGAGGGCCCCCTGGGGCAGGCTCAGGGAAACAGGCCTGGCAGACAGGCGAGGAGCAGCCTGCTTCCCTGCCGGGCCAGGGGCTTTAATTTTTGGGCTTCTCCCCAGTCGTGGGCTTTATTTTCCAGCAAGCATTCTTGAACCAAAAGCTAAGACAGACTTCAAAAGGATATCCTGGAAACACAAAGGAGACAGCAAAGTTTGTCCTCAGAGCCACCCTGGAGTGGCCAACATGCCATTGACGAGGGTGGGGAAAATCTGGCATGTTTCTTGAGCAGTGCTGTCAGATGTGTAATTCAAGGTTCCCAGTGCTGCGTCAGAAAGGATAAAAAGAAACTGGAGTTCATTTGAATCATATATATTATATTTATCCAAAATATTGTTGTTTTGTCATGTAATCACTTTAAAAATTATCGATGGACTTTCTGTCTGTCTTTTCCTTTTTTACGAGGGTGGTACTGCCTGCATCAGTTTCCTGGGCCACCCTAACAAATGGCCACAAACTAGGGGACTAGAAACAACAGAAATGTATTCTCTCACAGTTCTGGAGACCAGGAGTCTGAGATCAGGGTGTTGCCAAGGCCGCGCTCCCCTCAGAGGCTCTAGGGGAGGGTCCTTCATTGTCTCTTCCAGCTTCTGGGGGCCCCAGACATTCCTTGGCTTGTGGCAGCATCACCCCAATCTCTGCCTCTGTCTTCACATGGTCTTCTTCTCTCTTCTTATAAGGACACCTGTCATTAGATTAGGGGCCACCCTACTCCAGTGTGACCTTAGCCTAACTAGTTACATCTGCAGAGACCCTGTTTTCAGGGTTTCCAAATAATGCCGCATTCACAGGTACCAGGGGTCAGGACGTGGGCATACCTTTCTGGGGGACACAAGCATGCCTTAAGTGACTGGTTCTCTCGATTCAGCATCTTTCTTCCCTAAACTGGGCGGTGCACTCACTGCCAAAGTTTGTACCTCTGAACCTGTGTTTTGTGGGTCTTGTGTCCACAGTTGCCCTGAGAGAGCAGTTCATGTTTCTGATCATAGCGAGTCAAGGCGGAGGGACGGCTTTCTGCTGTCACACTTTGTGGCGCCTTAAATGCTTACTTCCAAACTGCAGGGGCACCTTCCTGGGCCCTGAGGCTATGTGACTGGAGTCATCTGTTCCCCTCCCCCTGGCCTCTGGGGCATGGCACTGGAGAAGGGCCCACGGGTTGTCCGTCTTTCTGCAGTGACCCGTCCGGCGAGGAGACACTCCACTTGCAGGTCCCTGACTCCATCACCAGCTGGGTGGCTGAGGCTGTGGGTCTGTCTACCACATGGGGCCTGGGCATCGCTGAGCCCACTTTGCTGAAGACCTTCAAACCCTTCTTCGTGGACTTCACGCTGCCCCGCCACGTGGTGCGCGGGGAGCAGGCCAAGATCCCACTCAGCATCTATAACTACATGGGCATCTGTGCTGAGGTACCAAGCCCCCACCCCAACAGCCTTTCCTGGTGGTGGAGGCCACATCTATGATGCCAGGAGGTGGGAGGGTCGGGTCATCCTGGGGGAGCCTTGCGGGCAGCATATGTGTTACTGATGAAGCAGAGGCAGGATGGGGTCAGCTTCTAATTCACCAGCCATCTAAGCTTGGCAGGGCTGGGGCGGGCATGTGCGCATGGCGGGGTTGGGGGGTGACAGACATGATGGAACCACCATCCTTGACTTTTGTACCCCTGGCACGAGGGTACAAGTATCATATGTAATGGCATGGAACAGGGGCTGGCACACTTTTTCTGTAATGGACCAGACAGTAAAAACCCCTGGTGTTTCTTTGGCTTTGGCAGCAACCCCCATCTCTGCCTCTGTCTTCACGTGGCTTCTTATCTCTGTGCGTCTCATCATCTTCCCTCCGTGAATGTCTATGTCCGAATTTCCTCTTATAAGGAACGACCTCAGTCATTGGATTAAGGTCTGCCCTAAGACCTCGTCATGACTTGATGATGACGTCTGCACAGACCCTATTTCCAAATAAGATCACATTCACAGATTCTGGGGACTAGGTCCTCAACATGTCTTTTAGGGGAATGTAGTTTAGCCTGTAACAACTCCCCTGGGAAGGTGGGCTTGAGGTTGACCTTGGAAGCTGGGAGAATTTCAGACCCTGGTGATGAGGCAGGACAACAGGTGAGATAGAGGGACCTGTGAGGACCAAGATCAGGTGCGGGCACAACGGGGAAGGCATTTGGGTGGGGCCTGTGCACTGGTGTGGCTTGAGGAGACCAGGGGCTCCCATCTTCCCTGACCTTTATCATCTTCGAGCCCCATCTCAGCCTGGCTGGTGGGTGGGAGGAAGGGAGGGTAGAAGGGGTCCCCATGGTTAGGGACAGCCATCAGGGGCAGGGCTTGTAAGCTGAGGCTTTAGGCAGAGGGGTGAGTGGGGCACAGGATCAGGAGTCCAGCTAGGAGCGAGCCTGCTCTCTGAAGGTTGGCCCACAGCTCTGGCTGCGGGTCTCAGCCTCGCCCTGGCTAGCTGGGGACATGGCTGTCCTTCTCCCGGCCCTGCCCAAGTGCTGGCTCATTTCACACCAAGGGCAGAAGATGTGAGCTGTGGCCCCATACCAGAGACACTGCAGAAACCAAGAGATTTCACCACACGCATGCGCACAGACGCACACACACACACACACACACACACACACACGCAAAACAGATTCCTGGTTTTTCTTGAAAAATGAAGACATCGGGCCAGGGAGGGAGTTGTTGGAATTTGTGACCTGAAGGGGGCACCTAGACTGGTGGAAGTCTAGGGGGTTGTGTCAACACATCTGGGCTTCACTGCTCCCAGAAGACCCTCTGGGCTTTAGCTTGGCATTTCCAATTACCAGCTCAATTTCCCAATCCATAAACTGGGCGTGAGAGCTCAACCTGGCCCTTCTCACCGCCCCAGGCTCAGTGTTTTATTCAGTTCTTTTTCTTTAGCTCCTAGCAAGGCGCCTACACCCACTAGGTCCTTCAGATATACTGGTTGGATAAATGGCTGTGGAACAAAGAGCCTGTTCTAGATTGGGGGGCATAAACGTGTGTACATAGAGACTAGTGTGTACAGTGCCAGGCATGCACACGTGTGTAGAGTGCCAGGCTTGCATACATGCACATGAGTATACACACAGACACAACACACACATGCACACATATGCACGCACATGCACACCCACAGAGCTCTATGATGCCGTGGACTCGGTGGTTGGAGGGTCGGAGGAAGTGCTCTGGGGGGCCTGCTGGTGGAGTGGTCCCTCCCAGCCCATGCTCCAGTGGGGACATGGAGAGGCTGCCCTTGAACTGGTCTTGGTCCCGAAGGGTAACTGGACCTGTGTCATTTGGGGGGCTGAGGGAAGAAGAGAACTCTCAGCAGGACAATGATGAGTATTGGTTCTGATTGAAACTGGAAAGGGGGCCTCCCACGGAGGGCATGGCTTTTGGAGGGGGCTGACAGGCTGGTGGTGGATTCTGGGTGGTGGGATGTGCTGGGAGGCCTCAGATTCCAGGCACCATGAGTACATGCCACCTTCTGCAGGTGTACGTGAAGATCTCGGTGCCCAAGGGCATCCGGTTTGTCGGGCATCCTGGCAAACGCCATCTGACCAAGAAGATGTGCCTGGCCCCCGGGGAGACCAAGCCCACCTGGGTGGTTCTGTCTTTCAGCGACCTGGGGCTCAGCAACATCACAGGTGAGGGCCTGGTGCTTCTCTGGGCACCTACCCTCCAGGTCACCAAGGGGCCCAGGCTCTGACCATAGGCACAGGCAAGGGGTAGGTGGAGCAGCAGGTGAGGTCAGGAGAGAGACAGGACAGCAGTTGGGGAAGCAGGCCAGAGGGAATAGTGTGGAGGTAGGGGGAGATGGCCTCTGGGGGTGGAGCCTGAGGCCTTACCTGGGGAGAGCCAGGCTCTTAAGATGCCAAACCAATGCAAACACAGATGCATCACAAACATGCACACACAAATACTAGTATACCCATGCACACATATGCACGCACATGTAAATACATGCACGTGCATGCATGCATGCATGCATACATGCACACACCATGCAAATACGTACATGCACAACCATGTACGTGCATACTAACATGAGCACACAAATGCATGAACAAACATGCACCTGCTGCTTGCACATACACATGCATATGCACATATGCACACCTGGTACGAAGGTGGGGGACAGGACAGCTCTGTGTTCTGAGAGCAGTACTGAGGATTCACATCTCTGCAGCCAAAGCCCTAGCTTATGGAGAAATAAGCTGCTGCCGGGATGGGAAGTCCATCAAACACCCGGAGGAGAATTACACTGACAGGAGGGTCCCCATCGGGAGGGACCACATCAGGCGCAGCGTGATGGTTGAGGTAAGTGCACACCCTCGTTCGGAGTGCTTTGCCAGGGCCTGATTCCCTGAGAGCCCAATTCCCTGAGAGCCCAGCCTGAGCATCCGGTCCCTTCCTGAGCCAGGGCCAGGGCAGATCCCATGGTCCCTCTGGGGCTCGGGGAAGGTGAGCGGACTGCCTCGCCATAGGATTGCGGCATCCAGCTCCTCTCCACAGCACAGAGCCAGCTGTGGCAAAGTGGCCTGGGACTCGCTAGAGCTGCAGGGAAGTGTGGCTCCAACTTACCATGTAATGGTAATAAAAGAAGTATTGAAAGATGAGAGCCCCATGGGGGCTGTGCTGGTCACACCAAATTCTCGAGAGGCATATTGGGTGTAATTCCAGGTGCTCCCTTTTAAGAGAACAAGCTGCTGCCTTCTATTCTTTGGGGAAGATCTGTGGAAGGGGCAGAAACAGGAGCATGGATGGAAGAGACAGGAGACAGGGGTTGTATGGGACAGACAGTGGGACAGAGAGCCCATCCTTGGCAGACCCAGGCATCCCCTTCTCGGTGTTCGAGGACATCAGATGGGGCATCAGGTCCTTGCAGCCTTTGTGTCATCGTGTTCTCTGCCCAGAGGGAGAAGCTGGGCTGGGAACTGAAACAAATGGGGTAGCCAGGGGGGCGGGCGGGGATGAGAGGAGCATGACAAGTCCAAGAGCGGTCGATGAATTCCTTTAACCAGAGGAAGGAGGAGGGAGCCTCCGTTTCCTCACCTGGGCCTGGGAGATGGATAGCCCAGCCTTCTGTGCACCTGCAATGTTGGCATCACCCCGCAGGGTCCAGAATCAGAGCCACTGCCATGGGAGGGCGACTGCCCCCCTGCGCTGACTGCCCGCCAACACTCAGTTCTCCCTGTTTCTCCGTTTCAGCCCGAAGGAGACCCCCACACGTACACCTACAGTGCTTTCTTCTGTCCCAATGGTGAGTCCCCGGGCCCACCCTTCCGAGGACTTCAGCCCTTTCCCCTGCACTATTGCAGCTCTTCCGCTGCCAAGTAGACACCCACAGTCCCTGGGGGCTGAGGACCCAGTAGCAGAGAACTGAGATGTCCTGTCTGGGGACAACCATAGCCAGAGTGGGGGCCGGGCATCCGTTATGCAGGAAGTGAGTGAACGAGATTGTAGATTGCAGGTGTCAAAGAGAAAAGAGACGGCAGTCAGGAGGAGGGTGGCGTCCTTGAACTCAGGGCCCTAGGGTGAGGAGCGCAGCATCCTGGGAAGGGAGATCTTAGAGTGACGTCAAGGGCACGAAGGAGACCCAGAACACTGGCGTAGCAGAGGAGGACATGGGAAATTAATGGGCTCCAGAGGGTGTGGGATCTGGGGTCCACCTCAATCCCTCTGAAATTGACATACCTGCACATGATCCATGAACAGGAAATAGGTACAGAGAGTGCCCAGTGAGCGAAGTGGCCAGAGAAGGGCCATCCACGCCTCTGCCTTAGTGGGGTCGGGGAAATGCTGGGTGAAACATGACGTGAGCGTGGATTGCCTATGGGAGGTGCTGTCCCTTCCTCATCTAGGTCTTGCCTTAGGAGCAGTCCAGCTTGGAGCTTGGGCCAAGCTGGGCACCTGGCTGTCATCCAGGGGCCTTTGCCAGGAGGCAGAGCGTAGGATCTGGAGTCCCTGGGTGATGTCCACCCCTCAGGTTAACCACCTCCCCATTGCCAAGGCATTCAACATGAATATATATTCTGCATACTAGTCCTTTAATCAGATAAACCATTTTACAAAGACATTCTGTGGCTTGTCTTCATTCTCTTGATAGTGTCTTTCAAAGACAGAAGTTGTTTATTTTGATTGATGTTCAGTTTTTCCTTTTGTGGATTACTTTTTTGTTGATTTGTCTAAGAAATCTTTGCCAAATCCTATGTTTTCTTCTTGAAGTTCTACAGTTTCAGGTTTTACTTTTATAAAGTGGCTATGTCCCATCTTGGGTTAATTTTCGGAGACCATGCCAGGGATGAATCAAAGTTCATTTTTCTGCATAGCCAGTTGTTCAGCACCATTTCTCGAAAAGGTTTTCCTTTCTCTATGGAATCATCTCTGCAGCTGTGTTGAAAGTCAGTTGTTCGTACCTGCGTGGGTCCATTTGGGTACTCCCCGTTCTTTTCCATTGGGCACTTATCTATGTTGACACCAAAACTACACTGTCGTGATTTCTGTAGGTTTCGAGTAAATCTCAGTGTCAGATGGGGTGAGTCCTCGAACTTGGTTCTTCTTTATTTTTGCCTCTTCTAGGTCTTTTCTGCTTCCATATAAATTCTGGAATCAGCTTTGTAGTTTCTCCAAAGACCCCGCTAGGATTTTGATTGGGATTGCATGGCATCTGTTAACCACTCGGGGGATAATTAACATCATGGCCACATTGTCTTCTGACGCATGGACATGGTCTAGCTCTCCACTGAGTTGGGTCTTCTTTAGTTTCAGCAGCGTTTCACAGTTTCCAGTACACAGGTGGTGTGCATCTTTTATAGTATTTATTCCTGTGAGCATTTTTTCTTTGTTGTGCTATTGGCAAAGCTGTCATTAAGCCAGCAGTCATGCTTCCTGCAGCTGCTGGCCCAGCCACAGTGAGACATGTCCCCCGTGGTCCCCATTTTCTAGGTGCCCCCACAATACCCTCTCTCCTTCCCTCTGTCCAGAGAGAGTCCATATCTCCACACCCAACAAGTATGAGTTCCAGTATGTGCAGCGGCCACAGCACCTCACCCGTTTCGACATGGCTGTGCGAGCCCACAATGACGCCCGTGTGGCCTTGTCCCCCGGGCCCCAGGACACGGCGGGCATGATCGAGATCGTCCTGGGGGGACACCAGAACACCAGGTCCTGGATCTCTACCAGCAAGATGGGTGAGCCTGTGGCCAGCTCGCACACGGCCAAGATCCTCTCCTGGGATGAGTTCAGAACATTCTGGATCAGCTGGCGTGGCGGGCGTATCCAGGCATGGCTGGGCTGGCCGGGGTGGACATGGGAACCTCGTGGTCCTCTGACATTTGCTGCTTTCTGCTGTGTCCGGGTCTGATGGGGGGAACAGGCAGGAGGGAGAGTAAATATAGGGGACCATCTCAAGTCGCTCACAGTCTTCGTGGAGTTTCTTACAAAAAGAACGTGGCAGAGAGCTGTGGCAGAGGGAGCGCCTAGGGATCGGGGAGCTGAGGGGTGGTAGGTGGCCAGGGAGAAAGAAAATAGGGGGCTGGGAACACTCTGAGCTAAGAGGAAGGGACATAGAGAAAGAGCAGCTAACAAAGCTTCCTATCGGAAGGACATAACCAAACTGGGTTTTGAAGTATGAATAAGTTCAGCAGGAATAGGCGGTCAGCAGGCAAACCAGAGAGGAGGATGTTCTAGGCAGAGGGAATAGCATGTGCAAAGGCCTAGAGGTTCTAGGGAACCAGGTCACTTTGGAACCCGCAGATGCCATGCTTTTGTCTCTGTTGGCCACTTAATGGATGCGGTGACATCTAGTTTCTCCCACCATGGCCCTTTATCCTGTGTCACTGCAGCCTGAGTGCCACTGCATGCTTCCTTCCAGCGCCCAGCAGCCTTGGCTTCTTTTTCCAGGTTGGCTACGGTCCAGAGCCATCCAACAAGTCTGTCATCATGGCCTGGACCCTCCCCAGGGCACCAGAGGTTCAGTTCATTGGCTTCTCCACTGGCTGGGGCTCCATGGGCGAGTTTCGCATCTGGAGGAAGATGGAGGTAGACGAGAGCTACAGTGAGGCCTTCACCCTGGGGGTCCCACACGGCGCCATCCCCGGGTCTGAGCGGGCAACTGCTTCCATCATAGGTGTGTCTGCCCCACAGCCTGGCTTGGGGAGGATGGGGGCAAGAGCCCAAGTGCAAGGTAGCCATTCCAGGCTCAGTCTCACACTGGGCTTTGCTGCGGACCTGTGCCCCTGGGGCCTCCAGCCACACACCTACTTACCTGATAAGCAGCTTCTAGTGCCTTCTCTGTGCCGGGCTCTGGGGCAGGCCCAGAAATGACCCCAATCCCGCCCTTGAGGGGCTCCTAGTCTGGCCAAGAAGGCAGGTCTATACCTACCCAGTACAAGCCCTGTGTAGGGTAACCCCAAGGGCCAGGTGATAAACTCTGGGGGCAGTGGGTTTGGGGCAATGTAAAAAGACAACCAAAAGGCCAGGTGAGGTACAGGGTGGGGAGCGGGGGTCCTGGGGGTCTTGGTAAGAGAGGCGGACATCCAGAACATTTTCCGAGTAGGGGTAAGAGACTGACCAGGGGTCTCTAGGGATTGTCTCCCGTGGCCTGGGCATGGGAGTGGCAAGTGAGGACTGCGTGATCATCCAACGGTGGAAGTTGGGAGACGGGGAGAGGCCAGAAGGGTCAGGCAGACCTGAATGACGGGGTCTCAGGTGTCTCTGACATCAGAGGGTAAAAGCCCTGGGACTCGGGCAGGTTGGTGGTTATGGCCGGATCAGAATATGCTGGAGTTTACAATTTCTGAAGCATGAGGTCAAGTCAGAAGTGGCTGAGGGAGCGAGTGGCCCAGATGGAGGTGAGGGATGTAGGGGAGGAGGTACATGGGCAGAGATGGCGGAGATGAAGCCTGAGACCTGTATGCCGGTGGGGCAGAAGGGTGGAGAAGAAGCTGGGAAACCCAGAGGAGGGTGACGAGAAAGTAGCCAGGCAGGCCCTGATGCAGGAGGAGGCCCCAGGAGCAGCGACAGCCTCAGTGGGGCAGGAGGAAAGGCCACGGAAGGAAAGGAGGTGCGATCAGGGAATAGTGGGGGTTCTGGAGGACTCGTCAGCAGTTTTCGGGGTAGAGAGGCCAAGAAGAGGAAAAGTGCTGAAGGGATGAGAACAGAGGAGACCAGAAATAAAAGAAAAAAAAAAACTTTAAAATGCGCCTACAGTACCACACGTGTATGAAAACTTTTATTAAAAATCAAAATACTCGTGGTTAAAGAGAAAATCACATTTTGTATTACAAGTTAAAAATATATTTAGAATGATTTAGAATATGGTGGCTATATTGATATGTTTACATTTGTGAGATGCAGCCAAAGTCATACTTAGAGGGGAATTCATGGCCTTGAATGCACCTGTTTTAAAAGCTAGAAAGAAAAAAAAAAGCATTCAACATAATGGAAAGGCAGAGAAAAGACACCTGAGTTAAAACTAAGGGACACGAGAGGAGATGTGTAGGAGGTGGCCACCAGAGCTGAGAGACCAGGTAGGCTGAGTGGATAGGGGGTGCAGTTCAGTTTCAAAGGGCAGCACTAACAGTCAGAGGTGGGGGTGGCTGGTGTTAGGCCACGAGCAGGCTCCCACCGCTGGGGAAAGTGGTCCCTAGGATAACCAGGGCACCCGGCAAGGCCTGCTTCCAGCCTGGCCCTCTTTTCCTTCCTGCCAGGAGACGTCATGGGGCCAACGCTGAACCACCTCGGCAACCTCTTGCGGCTGCCCTTTGGCTGTGGAGAGCAAAACATGATCCACTTTGCGCCCAACGTCTTTGTCTTGAAGTATCTTCAGAAAACCCGGCAGCTCAGCCCCGATGTGGAGAGGGAGACCACCGATTACCTGGTACAAGGTATTGGGGGAACTGCCTGGGTGGAGGGTGTGGAGAGGAAGGCAGCCATGACCAGGCTGGGGGCAGCCCACACACCAGGCGTGGCAGGGGGGGAGGAAGAAAAACAAAGTGGCCACTCCAGGTGGCCCGATCTGTCACTGTCAGCAGGAGCCTGGCATCTGCACCTGTGAGGACAAGGCTCTGAATGCCGATAATCAGCCATAGGGAAAGGAACAGCATCTTTTAAAAATGTAGATTTTTTAAACAATAAGAGCAATATAGTAACATTATAAAAAACATTTAGAAAAAAGAAAAATTCCCTTTGACGCCCCTGTTGGAGTCGGCTCCGGGTTTACTCCCTCGCCCTCAGCGGCTCCAATTAGCTCTGCTGCTCTCGGTGCCCTATACCGTGGCATGCGCGGTGTGTCCCCACCCCACGCTCTGTAAGACTCACCCACTAGGCTGAGGGAATCTGTGGTCCTTTCGCCCCCGCTGCTGTGAGACAGTCGCCGTGTCTGTGCACGGCCACGGGAGCAGGTTCCAGTTCAGGACGTTTAGAACGGCGCTGTTGTGAACCACAACCGCTGTTGTGGGCTAGATGATGACCTGTCTGAATATCGCTGGAGTGGAATGGCTGGGTCTCAGGACGTGTTGGTTCATAATCACTTTCAGGGCTCATGCGGCCCATGCCCCCTGCTGCCCTCACACTAAAAAACACCCAGCATGGAGGCCCCGGGGGCTGCCTGACTGACCTCTCCGCCTCCGGCCCGCTTGTTCCCCTGCTCTGGCCACCCTGGCACCTTCTGTTCTCCGAGCATACCAAGCCCTGGCTCCAGTGGTTAGAGCAGCCCCCACCCCCCGGGGACAGAGGGCGTTGCTTTAAGATGGTGCATTTCGCTAACCACCAGGCAGGACTGAGGGCCGGTGTTTGACCCAGAGTCACAGAGGGGGGTCATCAGGAAAACAGAGGTTTCAGCCACTCCTGATGTTTTCAAGGACTCCAGATGTGGTATGGGGGCAGTTTCAAGGACCCCAGATGTGGTATGGGGCGGTTTCAAGGACCCTAGATGTAGCGTGGGACAGTTTCAAGGATTCCAGATGTGGATACGGTGGCATCGTTTGGGGGTCCCAGGGTAGGACGTTGGCTGGCTCAGGCTAGACCATTCAGGAGGGTGCTGTTCCCTCTGCTTGCCTCACAGGCTACCAGCGGCAGCTGACCTACAAACACCAGGATGGTTCCTACAGTGCTTTTGGTGAACGGGATGCATCAGGAAGCATGTGGTGAGTCCCCACTCCTGGCACTGCCACAGAGGCTCCCCGGCCTGCAGCCACGGCCTCATGTCCAGCACAGCGAGGCCAGGACTCTCAGGGCCTGATTCCCAGGGTGAAAAGGAGCCTGCCTGGGAAATAGGGGCAGCGTGGTGCCAGCCCCAGGGTTCGGAGGGATGAGTGCAGGAGGCTCGCCGGCCCTGGATGTGGCGGGAGTGGTGGCGACAGGTGCTCTTGTTGCCACAGCACCGGGAACTGAGCCTCTGCTCTCCGGCCCCTCGGGAGCACGTCCTGGGCACTCTGGGCCTCCTCAGAGCCCACTGGACCTGGAAGTGGGGGTGACTCTGAGCAGGAAGGGTTGGGCTGAGGCAGGCCAGACCGCTGTCTTGAGGCCTGGGTCGGGGTGTATGGGAGTAGTGTCCTGGAGCCTAGTTTCCCTTGCAAAGCAGCTCCCTCTGATTTTGGGGGTGACCAAGGCAGGGAGAGTCCAGTAGGGGACAGGGTCCACCTGGATTTTTTTCCCTTGGGTCCTCGGACCACGGCAGTTTGTGGCATCATCATGGATTTGGAGCTTACGGAGACTATGGGGCACCCCCAGTTATCCCCAGGGGGCCTCCCTCTCCCAGAGTACCAACCTGATGGCACCTGCAGCAGCTGTGAGCATGGAGACTGTTCTGCCTTAAACCAACGGTGTCCACTGCACAGCCACAGTGCCAGGGGAATGGGGACACGCCTGGCTGAGCTCTGCAGTGTTCAGTGTCACTTGCTTGTCTCCAGAGGGGTTCAGGTATGGTGACCTGCCCAGCCTCCCATCCCCCAGCAGCCCGTCCACTGTCCCAGTTCTAGTCCCAAGGTCCTGCCTTGCTGACAGCCCTTGATGCAAGGCCACAGTCATGCCCTGGCAAGCAGAGGCCCCCTTTCACCCTGGGGACGGCCAAAGCCACTGATTCACTCTCTGAAAGCTGGCCAAGCCCCAGCAGCCCCCAGGGGCCTGTGCTGGACAGGATTAGCGTGTATCCTCCCTTTGTGGACATGCACACACAGTGCGAACAAGACCAGTTCCACCCTAGTGGCGGAGGAGTAACACCCAGAAGTTTTCGCTCCCCTCCTCCCTTGGCAAAAGTCCCTGTAGGACAAGGGTGCAGGAAGCATAGGCGGTGGCAGCAGCATCCACCCTGGAGGTGGGGAAACCCGGGCTCTGCCTCGTGAACCGTGTGGCCTTAGACCAGATCCCAACCTCTCTGAGCAGGATCTAAGAAGCAGTGGGGATAGGAGTATGGACGTGCTCAGTGCCGTGCTCGGTACCCACAGGGACAGACACCCTGTTAGTGCCTCTCTCTAATAACTTGGGAGGATCCAGCGCTGATCTGTTATTGATGGGTTTCTGTACATCCAATGTTCATTCATTTATTCATTTGTTCGTTCGTTCGTTCGTTCATTCGTTCAACGAGTGCTGCTTTGTGCCAGGCCCCGTTCTTAGTCTTACATTTGATGAACCAATATTACTATGTAATTATTAACTAAGGTCCACAGTTTACATTTGGGTTCACTCTTGGTGTTGTACATTCTGTGGGTTTGGACAATGTACACTGTCACGGATCCACCATTACAGTATCATATACAGTACTTTCACGGCCCTAAAAATCCCCTGTGCTCCGCCCTCCACCCCTGGCAACTACGGACTGATCTTTTGACTGTCTCCATGGTTTTGCCTTTTCCAGGACGTCATAGAGTTGGAATAGACAGACAGTCTGCCCTTTTCAGACTGGCTTCTTCCGCTTGGCAGTTCCTCCATGTCGTATCATGGCTTGATAGTTCATGTTTTTATGTTCCATTATAAGGTCGTACCAGTTTATTTATCCCTATTTGTGTTTTAAGAATGGAAAAGAGAACCATGTAGCAGAATGCGGGAATGTCACAGTTCCCAGCACGTGGGCAGCTGAGTTCCATCTTTGCCCCAGTCCCAGCCACTTACACAGGGTTGGAATCCCTCTGGCTGCTACGTGCAAAGCAAGCCATGGGGCAGGGTAGGCCTGGGAGACAGGAGCCAGGGGGTGTCCTGATGCTGAGAATGGGCAGCAGTGACACAGAAGCAAGGCTGTGGGAGTTGCGGGTCCTGGGGGGCGGTTCTGGGGGCTCCAGAGGCACCTATCCCAGACTGCAGGTGCCCTCTGGGGAGAGAACCCCAGGCTGAGCATTCAGAGACAAGTGGTACCTCATCCTGTGAAGGAGGGAGAGGGAACATGATACATCCAGGGCTTGGATGGAGTAACTGAAGCAAGCAACAGAAAACTGTCTGAAAAGCAATTCTGAATGTCAGTTCACACCGCAGTGCTGGGCAGGCAGGCTTTGGGCTGGCTGGTCTGGCAGCCCCACAATGCATCAGGGGCCCTGGCTTTTCCCTTTACTCCCTATGGACTCCTTAGGGAGTAAAGGGTGGCTGCTTCCCTTGTGGTGGCAAATGGCTGCAGCTGCTCTCAGCATCATCTCATTCCAAAGCCATGAGCAGGCCTGGGGACTGGAATGCCCATAACTATGGCTGGCTAGGGCCACAGAGGGGTGCAAGCATCCAAGGCACCTGGCTGCCAGTTCCCAAGCAAGACCTGGGATCTCTCAGCAAGACTGGGGATCTTTCGGGGGAAGCTTGTGGAGGGGCAAAAAGGAAAGTCTCCTACACCTGGCAGGGGGAGGTGGGACTGGACCAGATCATAGAAAGGCTGAGAGTGCCAGGCAAGGAACAGACCTGGGTACCGGTGGGCTGGGAGGATCCAGACAGGTAAACTGCTCCATCATCGGGCTAGCTAGGTGCTCACATACTTCCATCAAGTGCTTTCAACAGCCCTGCGAGGGCAGACTGGACCCTCCCATCTTATAGATGAGGAAGCGGAGGCTTGGGGCAATGCAGGGAGCATACCACAATCCCTCTGGGGGCACATTGCAGGGGACCTGTTCTGCAACCTCCTGTCCCCTCCTGATCCTGTTTCAGGCTCACAGCCTTTGTCTTGAAGTCCTTCGCCCAGGCACGCAGCTTCATCTTTATTGACCCACGAGAACTGGCGGCCGCCAAGGGCTGGATTATCCGGCAACAGCGGGCGGACGGCTCCTTCCCGGCCGTGGGCAGGATTCTGAACAAGGACATCCAGGTTAACAGCCTCTCCGGCTGCTTCTTGGTCCTCCTTCCGTGCCTTGGCCCCACCCCGCCTGCTCCTGGTGCTGCTGGGGGCTGTGTGGTGGGGGCCGTCCCCTCTGGCTCCAGGTGAAGCCTGAGCATCCTCTTCCAGGGCGGGATCCATGGCACAGTCCCACTGACAGCCTACGTGGTGGCTGCACTCCTGGAGATGGGCACGGCCTCAGAGGTGAGCACAGAGGGGCCCGGGAGATCTGGCTGGAGGAATAAGTGTGTGGGTTCCCCTACAGGCCTTGTGTGGGCCAGGCCTAGGGTCTGGGTCACCGGCTGTTGTCATTCCTGGCACGTGACCTGGGAGGCATGTGGCACATCTCAACACCGCGCCTTTGCGGCAGTTCCACGCTGTGATCTGATCTAAAGATGGAAAGCTTTGGGAGAAGCTTCTTTCTGCGATCTTAAAGCAGAGTCACCTTAATTCCTTGGCTCCACCGGTGCCCACAGGAACACCATTGCTCAGTTGCTAAACTTATTAATGTTTCTAATCACCCATTTTTCCATGTAACCATTATTATTGGGCAGCTTCCCTGAACTAGCCCATCACTACACGGTGGACTGTGTTTCTGTCCTCCACCTTGGGGTGGGGCCGAGCATGATCAGGGTTGGTGGACTTCCTGAAGGAGGCAACAGCTGAGCTGAGGCCTGAAGGACGAGGAGTGCCTGAGCAGTATGACTTAGAAGCCAGCTTGGTGATAAAGTGGGGTGGAGTGGGGGGCCGGGGCTCTGCCTGTTTTTCCCAGAGCTTCTCTGGGTTGATCTGCTATGCTCAGACTTTGTTTGGGAAAAGTTGGTGCCAACATAAAAGAAAGGGGATGGGGATTTGAAAACCGGGGCTGCAGGTGATGGGAGCCCCAGAAGGATGCAAAGCGAGGGGCTGCAGGCTGTCCAGCGCTCTCCCAGGCATGCCGGGGAATCTGCAGGTGGGTGGTGGGTGGTGGGCAGGGCAGGGTAGTTCCCAGGGCTCCACCTCCCACCCACTCCACAGGAAGAGGCGGCTGCCATTGCCAGAGCCCAGCACTTCCTGGAGTCCAGCGTGGCCCTGGTCTCGGACCCCTACATCAGTGCCCTGACCGCCTACGCACTGACCCTGCTCCGTAGCCCCGTGTTCCCCGCAGCCCTGCGAAAGCTCCGCAGCCTGGCCATCACTCAGGGTAGGTGGCCCCGTCTGCCACCCTAGCAGCCACAGTGCCGGGCCCGCCCACTGTGGGCCCCAGGAAGCAGCTTATGAGCACATGCATAGAGTAAGGAGACATCTTTTGCTCGCTTTATTTTATTATATTATTTATTATTGCACCTCCTAGTGGCTTCATTTAATGATGTGGTTTAAGCCAGAGTGTCACTTTCTTCCCCTGTGAAATAGGGGATACTGACCTCGCCCAACAGAGAGGACAGTGCTCAGGGATTCCCGGCAGAGGCTCCTCCAGGCTTCCCGGAAACCATCCGCTACAGGCTGCTGGGAGGCAGGGGAGGACTGTGGCTGGCCTCCACCTCGCCCCCATCACTGAGCGAGCTTCAGAAAGCTTTTCCATCTTCAGGGTGTCAGAATCCTCAGCTACAAAATGACCCCACTGTGTTCAGAGAGCCCCAGTCGCTAAGCTATGACTTCTCTGAGTGCACCCAAACTGAGTCCCCTCCTACCAGCCCCTGGCCTTGCCCACCCCCCATATTCCCAGCAGCTGGATTAAGGCTGAGTTTCCATCCAGCTTTTCTGATTAAGACATCACCTGAAGAGTTGGGGAAAAAAAAAAGGAATATTCTGAAACCAACCACCTGGAGGATGGTGTCTATTCGGGACTAAATGCTCAGGACAGGAAGTGGGGGTGGCTGGTTTCTAGCTGGCTTTGAGGGCCTTTTACAGCTCCCATGAGCTCAGAATCCTTGGCGCCTTTGCAAGTGGGGAGTGACTTCATGGGCACTAAGCGGGGACACCTGGAGACACATCACAGCTTAGCCAGGAGGGAGGCCATTGATTAGAGAGGTTTGCCAGGGATGCAGGAGGGTCTGGGCTGTCACACAGTTGCAGATCTGAGACAGAGTCCCAGGGCCTTTCCAGTCCCAGCCATCTCCTGGTACCCTTCTCCCACTGGGGTCCAGTCTTGGGGTCTCTTCTTGAGACCGTATGCACTGATGCCCACCGTGGGATGACAGGCTGAGCATGGAGTGGAGTGTGGCCTCTGACCTGTCCTGGCCTTACAGATGGAGTCACCCACTGGAGCCTGACGGGTTCCCGGGATGGGGACAAGGATGCCTTCCTGAGCTTCAGTGATGGGGTCTCTCAGGCAGGTACTGCTTGCCCCTCCCCTGCTGCCTGCTTTGGGAGCTGGGTTTTGGGTCCTGGCCTTGAAAGGGCCTCAGCTGCCTCTTTCGTTGCAGTGGCCTCAGCCGAGATAGAAATGACCGCCTACGCTCTGCTGACCTACACACTCCTGGGCGACGTGGCCACTGCCCTGCCTGTGGTGAAGTGGCTGTCCCAGCAGCGGAACGCACTTGGGGGCTTCTCTTCCACTCAGGTGAGCCAGGCAGGGCCAGAGGGAGTGGCTTGGGTCTGGGAGGGGCCACTATGATCCAGGCTCTGGGCCACCAGTGTTTCAAGTCCTAGGAAGGCCCCTTGTCTGCAGCCCCTGGGGACAGGAAGTCTAAGAGAAGGCCTGAGGGACAGTTGTATTTGGCTCTGGGACAGGGAGCCAGCCCTGCCTCCGGGGAGATGCCTACCCACTGTCTAGGTAGGGCCCCAGGTCCAAGGGTGCCTGCATCGGGTCAGCTCTCCATTCCAGCCTCATAGGTCCCTGGCCTCTAGAGAGAATCCGTGGTGCCCTTGACATGGGCCAGATCTCCTAAAACAGGGACAGAGGGACCACTGGCCAGCCCGGTCCTGGGGCTGAGAGCAGCCTCCCTTCTGTCCCCAGGACACCTGCGTAGCTCTGCAGGCCTTGGCAGAGTATGCCATCTTGTCCTACGCTGGCGGTGTCAACCTCACCGTCTCCCTGGCCTCCACCAACCTGGACTACCAGGAGACCTTCGAGCTGCACAGGGCCAACCAGAGGGTTCTGCAGACAGCGGCGGTGTGTGTTCCCAGGGCTGGGGGTGGGGGACAGCTGCCTGCCTGTCCACGTGTGTCTGTGGGAGAATCACGGCGTCTTCTCTCCCCAGATCCCCAGCCTCCCTACGGGGCTGTTTGTGAGCGCCAAGGGTGAAGGCTGCTGCCTGATGCAGGTGAGGCTGCAGGGAGAGCAGACACAGTGGCATCTGGAAACTAGGACCCCGGGAGGGGCCGGTCAGGGCTCCAAGCTCAGCATTGGATCAGGCTGTGTGGGGTGCATGTGTGTGAATGAGAGGCCCCAGGGCAGACTATCAGCTTCCAATATTCAGCCCACCCTGCCCAAGGCAGGGCCCAAGGCAGGTGACCACATGTTCCCTTGGGCATGAGATTCCCCCAGGAAGATCTATTTGACTGGCCTAGGCTTGGCCCTCACCATAGCCCCTTCATCACTGGGTCCTAGGGTTTAGCTGAGCTCTGGGCTGGAGCAGACTGGCCTCATGGGCTCTGGCTAATAGGGAAAGGGCAAGTCTGCCTGGAGACCCTCGCAGCCTCAGCCTTCCCATCTCTGAAATGGGAGTTCAGACAGCACAGTGGATAGGAAGGAGGGCCCTGGAGGTAGACAGACCTGGGCTTGAGATGCATAAAAATGGGATAATGGTTGGATATATACCTGCTTCGGCTGTTTCTAGGCTAAATAGAATAGTAGTTCTTGGAACTGTCACTGATGTCACTGTCACCATCAGTGGGCTGTCCCCCACCTTCCCCTACTCTGACTCTCCCTCCTCCACCTGGAGGGCCCCTAAGCCTCGGTCCTCCCACATCCCCCAGATTGACGTCACTTACAACGTGCCAGACCCGGTGGCCAAGCCGGCCTTCCAGCTGCTCATGAGTCTCCGGGAGCCTGAGGCTGAGCAGCCCCAGCCCCCAGCCCCAGCCTCCTCGGCAGATGATGATGACCCAGCGGCTGACCAGCATCGCCAAGACTACCAGGTGACCCTGGAGGTGTGCACCAGGTAAGGCCATCTGCCCTGTGCTTAGGGGGTGGTGTTTTGTTTTGGTCCCAGTCTATCATCAGTAGTGAAATACAGCAGCTGTGAATTCTTGGGGCGCTCACCTGGGCCCAGCCACTTGCGGCCAGCCCCACGGACATTTCACTGACAGGCTGCACAGGCTCCACCAGCTCTTGAGGGTCTTGTGATCGTAGGATGCATCTCAGCCACAGCCGTCAGGGAACAAAAATCAAGGTTTATTACTGACAGGTCCTGGAGGGTACACAGCATGCCTGGGGCCACACAACGAAGTCGTGGGAAGAGAGAAAGAAAAAGCACACCCCTGGGGTTCTGCCTTTATTGGAGTCCAAGGTTGGGGTATCTAGGGTTAACATGAGTGGGAACTAGGGTGTGAGAAGGGAGAATCAGGGTCATTCAAGCAGTCAGTTAATAGGTCACCCAGGGCTTTCTGAAAGGGGACCTCCATGGTTGAGGGCAGCCTGGCTCCTTATCTAGAAGCTATGTCATTCAGCTGGCAAAAGTTCATTTGAGACCAATGTCTTTGAAATAGATGCCTCCACAATCAAAAGTTTAATGTCAGGCATTTACATCACAATAAAAAAGCTTAATGTTAGTGACATGACAGATGGTTTTTGACATGAGTGAAGAGAATGAACCTTCTGAATGGATGCAGCACTCCCCAGTGACAGTGGGGCAGGCTGGCCAGTAGGGTGGCTGTTTGTGGCCCCTGAATGATGAACCAGCTCCAGACTCTTGGTTTCTTGAGGGTGACCGCAGGACTGGGCCACAGTGGGTCCTCAGGGAGGCATGTGCAGCTGCCCATGAAGATGGTTGTTGCCATGGTGATGGTTTGGGGACCATCTGGGCCACCTGACTGTTATCCTTGCAGTGGAGGTCTTCAGCAGACTTCCTTGTTTGCCACAGCAGCCACAGCCCTTCTAGGCACCTGCCCCGACCTTGACCCTCAGTCTGCTGTCAATTCAATAGGGCAGGGGAGCAGGAAACAGCTGGACTGGCCCCAACTATCTGGCCCCATCACGACTGCTGGGGACACCTTTTTTCTTCCCTCATATATGTTAAAAAAACCTCACTGTGTGCCATCCAGATATGGGCTCACTCAGGCCTCACCCTGCAGGAAGTCTGCCCCGCAGCTTTGGCCACCCCAGAGTCTTCAGGTTCCTCTCTGAATGTCAGCTTTCCTCCAGCACCCAGCACAGGGGAGGGCCTGGCATGTAGCAAGCCCAAGAGGCCAAATACCACACTCTGTGTTACAGATGGGGACACTGAGGGATGACACTGGAGAATGACTGGGTTTCCTTAGTCACCTAGTCTCCCATGCTGGAGGCACAGCATGGAGTTAGGGACAAAACATGGCCCAGAACCCGCAGCAAGGCCCTCTCCTTATGGCCTTAGTGTCTCAGCTGTGAAATGGGCTGACTGATGACTCAGCAAACCACATGTGTGCAGATGGCCTGCCAGCCAGGCCCAGGGCAGGATGTCAGCTGTGTGGGGGTTGTGGGGCAGAGGGGTCATGAATTCCACCATAGGGCTTGAGTTCAAGGACTGGCTCTCCTCTCATTGGAAGGTGGCTGCATGCAGGGTCCTCCAACATGGCTGTCCTGGAGGTGCCCCTGCTGTCGGGCTTCCGCGTGGACATGGAGAGCCTGGAGCAGGTGAGGCAGCGCCAACAGTCAGGAGCCAGGCGGGCTTCTCTGGCTGGCAGTCCATCTCAGATTGCAAATTCCCAGCCCTTCATAAAATGAGTCGGTTGTTTTTTTCTTTTCTGGGCAAATTTGGTGTTTTTGAGTCAGCCACCTGCGGAGGGGTGGGTGGGATAGGGTGGAGGCTCTCAGACAGGTGAGTCTCCCACTGGGCCACCTGACTGTTATCCTTGCTGTGGAGGTCTTCAGCAGACTTCCTTCAAGACAGACCCATTTTATGTCCCCTTTTGTGGGGGGCGGTGCACAAAGTGGGAGGCTGTCTTGCCTGGTCCCGAGGAGGTATACAGTGTGGGGAGGGCGAAGCAGGATAGTGGGGCCTGTCCTGGGGTGGGGATGATCAGGGAGGCTGGGCTAGGCATCAGGGGAAGCAGGTGACCAGCATAGAGGCTCTGGGGCAAGAGAAGGGTATTGTGTCAAAAAAATGAAAAAAGGTGGGCTGGGGGAGTGGTGGTCACATGGTGCAGGTGAGGCAGGAACAGGTGACAGGGAGGCCTGGCCTGGGCTGGGGCTGGATCTGGATCAGAGGAGGCTGCAGGGAAGGGCAGGGAGGCGGGTGCTTAGAATGGGAGTAACCAGCCTTAGGTGACTTATTCTGGGCTGGGAGGCCAGCAGGACCTGAGGACAGCTGATGGCCATCCCCTGGACTCATGCAATGGGGACTTGTTGATGACAATGGGCAAAACTCTCAGCTTCTGGGGCCTCAGCTTCCTTGGGCCTGCCTCCCACTGACCAGTGTGGGCCCCACAGACATCGGGTGGGAAGGGGGAGGAAGCACTGGGGCCAGAGAAGCCAGCAGACCCTGACCTCTCTGGCTTCCTCGCCAGCTGCTCCTTGACCAGCACGTGGAGCTGAAGAGGTATGAGGTGGCTGGACGCAGAGTTCTCTTCTACTTTGATGAGGTACTGCTGGCCGGGGGCGGTGGGCAGAGACCTCCCCAGAACCCAGATTAGTGAGGGCACAGCTGTCATGACCCAGTATGATTCCTCCAACTATCTCATACCATGAAAAAAAAAAAAAGAAAAACCTGGGAAAGTCAATCCAGGCAGAGCTGGTATGGCTGATGGCAGGGTGCCTCAGCCAGCTGGTTTTGGTGGGAAAAGTTGGGAGTGGGTGGAATAGTATTCAGGCATAAAAAGGAGTAAAGCACTAAACCTCGAAAACATGCTGAGTGAGAGAGGCCAGATACAAAAATGCACACAATATGTGATCTCATTGATATGCACTGTCCAGAACAGGCAAATCCGTTGAGAAAGAAAGCAGATTGGTGGTTGCCAGGAGATGGGGGTGGGGGGAGTGACTGCTAATGAGGACGAGGTCTCCTTCGGAGTGATGAAAATGTTCTGGAACTAGAGGTGATGGTTACACAACATTGTGAATGTACTAAATGCCAGACACACGGAAGGGCCCCTGCTGCAGGAGTGGGAGCCTTGGAAACCCAGCTGAGATATTTTCCTAGAGGGGAGGGAAGGACCCAAGGAACTGAAATGGGGCCAGGTGTCTGTGTTTCACACCTCCTGGGTACCCTGAAATCAGCCAGTTCTGGGCCCATGCTTTGGGGTGCCGCAGAGCATGGAGGCCAGAGCTCAGGCCCGGGGCCTAGTGGCCTCGGCCAAGCCTGAGCCGCCTGCCGCCCCGCAGGTCCCCAGCCGGTGCCTGACGTGCATAGGGTTCCGCGCGCTCCGCGAGCACGTCGTGGGGAGGACATCCGCACTGCCTGTCTCCGTGTACGACTACTATGAGCCTGGTAGGCCCGCGCTGCCCTCTCGCACCCCAGCTCGGCCCTTCACCCTGTCACCCCGTCACATGGTCACCGGTCCCCCTCCTCCTGCAGCCTTTGAAGCCACACGCTTCTACAACGTCAGCGCGCACAGCCCGCTCGCCCGGGAGCTGTGCGCGGGTCCCGAGTGCAACGAGGTGGAGCGCTCCGCGGCACAGGGCCCGGGTGAGTGCGCGGGGCCACTGCCCCGGCCGCCACCCCGACCCCACCCGCGGGCGTCAGGGAGCGCCTTACGCTCGGAGCTGAGACAGGGCGGGGAAAGGGACTGGCCTGGCGGAGGAGGACCGGTCTCGGTCAAGGGTGCGTTCGGCACGGCGGGGCGGGGCTTAGCGGGGGTGGGGGCGTGCAGGGTAGCAGAGGGAGGCTCAGAAGAGAGCCCTTGCCTCCCCCTCCCCCACAATCCTGAGTGTGTGGAGACTGCGGGGCCCTCCCCGTGATCGCAGAGTAGCTGCCAGGGGCTGAGGGTACCCCCAGGCCCTTTTCTTTGTTTTGCGAACTTACTGAAATGAGTTTAGATTGCTTTTAAATTTAAATTTAAAAAGATTTTTAAAATTTAGTAAGTACTATGGAAATACTTGAAAGAAATTACAGTAGGTCAAGGCTCGGGGCCTCCCCCAAGTGTGGGGAACGGCCGCGGTCCAGTCCCCACACTTGGGTGGGGGTGCTCCCAGACCCTCAGGGACCTGTTCCCGACCCAGGCCCGATGAGAGAGACACAGGCGGGGAAGGGGGAGCGGGGGAGCGATGGGGCGGGGAGGAGGGTGCGGTTCCTTGGGCCCTACCGACTTCGTCTCCTCCGCTAGGCTGGTCTCCTGGCGAGCGGGGCCCTGCGGCCGCCCTGGAAGAGGGAGAGACAATCACACGCTGTGGCTGCGCCCGCGACTGTGGCGCCGGCGGGGATCCGGTGTGCGGCTCCGACGGTGTCGTGTATGCCAGCGCCTGTCTTCTGCAGGAGGCCGCCTGCCGCGGGCGCGAGAGGCTGGAGCCCGCGCCCCTTGGCCGCTGCGCCCTCGGTGAGGACCCACCCGCGCCCGGCCTTGGGGATCCAATCCTCGCCCCCAGGGTGCTTCGCCCCATGTTCTCCATCACACTTTATTCTCTCCATCACATTATCTTCTCTCCATCACCTCGTCCACCGGGTCCTGCATCACCTCTCCTGTTCAATGCCCTTCCCTCTGGTCACCGCCTGGCTGAGCAGCCCCTGCTTTTGTGGTGGTTAAACAAGGCCTCCCTACCCACACTCCTGGTTCCTGCATGCCTGTGTCTCCCCGCTCACACACAAACAACTCTCCTCCCACTGAACTTTTTTCTTCTCCCTACAGCGCCCCTCCCAACTCAAAGTCCCTCACTTCCTCACCCTCCCCCAGGGGGTCTGTGTCTCTCCTCCCGCTCCTGACCCCAGCTCCCTCTGTCTCTCTCCCGTCTCCTCAGCTTCCCCCCTATTTGTGGCCCCTGCAGCTCTCCCCCCAGTCTCCATCTCGCTGTTCCTATGGCTTCCTGTCTTCCCCAATCTCAGTTTCTTGACATCTGCATCTCTTCACATCTCCTTCTCAGTCTTGCTAAGTCTCTCCACACCCCACCCTAATTTTGTGCCTTTCTGAATCTCCTCATCTCTGATCTCGGTGTCCCTTACCCCCTCTCGTGACCTCTCACTTTCTGTCTGTTATTCTGGGCCGTTAATCTACCCCCACTCCTCTGGCCTGGGCTGTCTGCCATTCAAGTCCTCCCCCTCCAGCGCCCTTGACCTACTAAGTCCCTTCTTTCCAGAGCAGCCGACGCCAGCCTCTGCTTACAACTTCAACTATGACCTGGCCCCCCTGGACTCTGGGCACCTGGCAGGGAGCCATGAGGCCTTGGACTTGGAGGGGGAGGCGGAGGACAGGTGAGAGCTGGGCCCATTCCCAACATCCCGCATTTGCCCTGGACCCGGGCTGGGAGTGGGAGTGACAATGGTGGGGTCAGCCTGCAGCTTTCCAGAATGAACCGGGGTATCCCGTCTCTCCCACCCAAGTCCACCCAACACACATCAGAGAACAGCCCGTATGTGCAGGGTGAAGCTGAGTGACCCCAGGACAGACCCCTGCCGGGGACCCACTGGACTAAGGACCACCGTTAAAGAAAAGATTATTCATCAAGCAGGGAGGACTTTATTCAGGGTGGGGAGGTATCGAGATAAGTAGAAGGAGTCTTGCAGTGGGAAGAGAGATTGGACCCAATTCCAAATAGAAGAGGAAGTGGTGGATTATAACTAAGGAGTGGAGTAGGGGGGTCAGTGGATAGAAAATTACTAAGAGGAAACATCAGGGGTAAGGGGGACTCTGGCTGAGCACCCAATGGGATTCTTGCTGAAGGTAGGCCAGATGGTCAGACATCACCCCCTGGGGGACAGAGAGGGAGGAGGAACCCGATTAGATATGGAGGGTGGGGATTCTGGCTAAACCGACTTAGCAGAGTTCTTGCTACAACTGGACGATGCTGAGATGAACATGGAAGTCCAAAACTGGAGGGAGACCTAGTTGAAAAAGAGCCCAGGGGTTAAGTCAATGAGAGAATCTTTGTCACCTTAAGAGAGTGGTCAGACCAGAGAGCCCTGTGAGGTGAGGCTGGGAGGGGGCTTCTGGACAGACTTTCTGGAGAAAGTCAGCCTTTCAGGTATAAGTTACAGCAAACTCCCCTCAAGAGGTTTAAGCAGTGGGTCGATTTATCAGCTCAGGTATGTGTCCGGTCCTTGGGGCTGACTATACCGTCAGGCCTCATGCTCTGTCCTCTGAGGCCCGACTTCCTTGACAAGGGTATTATCCACCCCATGTTGGTGGCAAAGGCTGGTCCTCATCCCCACTCAGAAAACCCAGCAGGAACACTTTTCCATCAGCACCCACCAAAGCCCCAGAGCTTCAGGGCTGTGCCATTTAGCACCAGGCACTGGGTTTAGTCCACATGCATTCACTATAATTATTGATTATATTAGTCAATATTACAGGGTTGGGTTTGGGACTACTGTTGCGATATTTTTATTTTATCCCCTCTGTTCTTCTTGTCATACCCTCTTTTGAGTTAATTGAATATTTTTTTAGAATTCCATTTAATTCAGCATTGTAGACTTATTTATCTTAGTGGTAGCTCTGCGGATCACTGTCCTTAAACTTTTCAGTCTACTTGGCGTGAATATTGTACCACTTCGCCAAAAAAGGTATCACCTTTGAAGCCTCGTGTCTCCATTTTTTGTCATCACCCATCCCTCATGCTGTCCCTGTCATGTGTACAGCTTTACACTCTCCCGAGTGTTGCCAGCTCTCTCCACTGCCTTCCTAGGGGTCTGCTTCTGTTTTCCTTTTGAAGGGGGGATTTTTATTAAACTTCTAAATTTGAGATCATCATAGGTTCACAGATAGTTGTAAGAAATAACAGAGATCTCAGTCTCCACCCAGTGGTGACATCTCGCAGAGCGAGAGCGCGATGTGACGTCGGGATAGTAACACTGATGCAAGCCGCCTGTCTCACCACTCCCCGTGTCACCGCTTTCGCACGCACTTGTTTGCAATTGGGTCTGCAGTTTTTCCTCACCTGTAGATTTGTGTCATCGTGACCCCAGTCAGGACGCAGAACAGCCTGTCACTTCAGGGATCCCCCCACCTCCACTCCACAGCCGCTCATCTCTCCTCCCTGTGTAATTGTCATCGCAGG